TGCGATCTCTGGCATTGTTTCTATCACCAAGGCCATATTTTCCAACTACCAATCCTTCTTCTATGTTTCTAACTTTCTCATTCCAATCTCCAGTAATTATCAATGCATCCTGATTGCATGTTCGATCAATTTCAGACTGCAGAAGTTGGTAAAAATCTTCAATTTCTTCATCTTTGGCGTTACTGGTTGGTGCGTAAATTTGAACAATAGTTGTATTAACTGGTCTTCCTTGTAGACGTATGGATATTATCCTATCACTGACAGTGTTGTACTTCAGGATAGATCTTGAAATGTTGTTTGTACATTTTATCTTGTACATAGTACAAGTACTATGGAGAATTATAAAATAGTGAGGGGAGGTAAGAAGAGCTGGGGATAAAAGTTGTAGTTTTAAATTTGGAGGCCAGTGTAGGCTTCACTGAGAAGATGATGTCTGAGCAAAGACCTTTTGAAGGAGGTGAAGGAGTGACTCAGGCAGATGTCTAGGGGCAGAGCTTCCAACTACTTGGGTTTGGATCAGGGCCCTGTCACTGACCTTGGACAAGTTACTTAACTACTCTGTGCCTCAGTTTTTTCATCTGTAAAGTAGGGATAATAATACTACCTATATCAAAAGGTTTTTATGTGGATTAAATGATTAGAAAAATGTAAAGCACAAAGAACAGTGCCTAGCACTAAGGAAAATGCTTTATAGTTATTTTTGTGAGCTTGTGCTGCGAGTACAAAAGCCCTTGGGTGCTAAAATGGAAGCATGCCTGCAGTGTTACATGGAGCAAGAATGCTAGTGGGGCTGCTGCAGACTGAGCAAGAAGGAGGATTGTGGGAGATGGGGAGAGCCTTTGTGGCTTTTCCTCGTGACCTGGGAAATCATTGGAGTATTTTGAGCAGAGAAAAGATGATCTGATTTATATTTTAACACCATTAGTCTGGCTTCTGTGTTGAAAATAGACTAAAAGGGGATAAGGATGGAATCAGGGAAACCAGTTCTAAACTGCTGTAGTAATGCAGGTGAGAGATGGTGGTAGTGATGAGGCTGGGAATGGTCCGATTCTGGATTTGCTTTGAAGACAGATCCAACAAGCTCTATTGAAAGATTAGATATCGGGTATGAGAGTAAGAGGCTCTGTGATTTGACCTGAGCAATTGTCAGAATGCAGCTTCCATTTACTGAGATGAGGAAAGCCTGAGAGGGTAGCCTTTTTTTATTGGGGGTGGGGAGTTCAATTTGGAATATGATAAACTTGAAATGTCTATTACACAACCAAGTAGAGATGTAGAGTAGGCAGTAGTATCCTACTTCTATGATAGTCTGGTGTTCAGAGGAGAGGTTCGGACTGGAAAGAAAATGGATCATTCGTTTTTTCACAAATATTTATTGAAAACGTGCCCTGTTCCAAGCCCTGTTCTAAGGTCTGGAGGGAGATACCTGTGAAAATACCAACAAGCTCCTGACAAGCTCACCTTCTAATGGCAAGACAGGTCATAAGTCAGCAAATAGGCGAGATAATGTATGTAAAGTCTTTAGTTCTCGAGATGGGGCACAATAAAGCCTCAACATACAATTGCTATTGTTATTTTCAATATTCGAGGTATTACAGGTGCCAGAAGACAGGCTTTGCTGCCTAGGAGCGCCTTCTCCTCCCAACCCCGGCCTGCTGGGGATGCTGGTCTCCGTGCCGACCTGGTTTCTAGCGCAGCGGAATTGTAAGATTGCGCAGGCGCGGCCTCAGTCTGGCGTCCTAGGAGACGGACTAGAACTGCCTTCGCGCAGGCGTATTCAAGAGGCCGAGGGAGCCTGAGGCCAGGGGGTGGGGCGGGGCGGGGCGGGGCTAGTTCCGAGTGCGCCTGCGCAACGTGCGCTCTTGGCCGAGGGCCCTCAGTCTCGATAGCGCGAAGGAGGTGTCTCGGTAGCTTCTGCCTGGTTTCTCCCGCTAACTCGGCGTCGTTGGGCTGCACTGAGGCCGGGGACGTCCGCCGGGCACGAGAGGGGACCACGATGCCGGTGAGGAGAGTGGTTCAGCCTCAGGCATTCCTTCTCATCCCAGCGGCCTGGCCTGGGGGCGCGGCCGTTACCATGGAGGCGCGGAGCGGGCGGGCGCCCGGGGTGGGGCGGGGCAGGGCCGGGTCCCGCAGGCCCGCGCGGTTGTGGAGCTTGGCGGGTCAGTCAGGGTACCGCGGGGATCCAGCTGGCCCTGGGAGGACACGGGGCAGGCCCTGCCGCCTTTGTCATTGCTGCAACCTGCAGGGCCTATAGTGCTTTGGCATAAAGGCGCTGTGGCGGAGGATGCGCTCTCGCTCCCAGCCTTGTCCGCTGGAAACGGCTGGAAACGACGTGGAGGGTCTACTTTGGATGCTCCGCATTCTCTGTGACCTTTGCACCGCAGAACCAAACTCCGGAAGGCAGCAGAGCGAACGCTGCCTGCCCCTTTACTTTGGGCCCCTGACTCGGACTCTTCCTAGGCTCGAGCTGTCATTCGTCTTGTGGTGCTTTAGCTTACAGGGCAGAATGTAACCTGTAGGTGTCTTGCGGGGGGGTGGGGGGAGGCGGGCGGAGAAAGGCAGGTTTATCTTGCAGGATTTCACAGATAGTTAACGTGCACGCAGTAAAGGGATATTGTAAATCCAGTACAGGGTCATGGAGAAAACTTGAGCCGTGGCCGGTTATTTGTTTACTGGTTGTGAGACCTTGAACAATTATTTAATCTGTCTGGGCCCTTAAAACCCACCCATCCGACTCATAGCGACCCTATAGGACAGAGTAGAACTGCCCTATAGGGTTTTCAAGGCCTTAAATCTTTATGGAAGCAGACTGCCACATCTTTCTCCCGTGGAGGGGCTAGTGGGTTCAAACCGCCCACCTTTCAGTTAGCAGCCGAGCGCTTAACCACTGCGCAACCAGCGCTCTTTGGGCATTTAGTCTCCTCATGTTTAAACTTTTACTCATGGGTTGTTATGATGATGAAATAATGCGCATTTAAGACGAAGGACATTGCTTGACATCTAGCTTTAAATGCTCAATATTTGTTCCTTGTTATTGCTTTCAAGTTATTCATCGGTTCATTCAGCATATATTGGACACCAGCCACATGCTAGGCACTGGAGGTATGAGTGAGCAAAATTAGCCAGATCCTTGAACTTGGGAAGAGGGAAACCTGTCTTTTCGGGCAGAGGCAAAAACCATAAAATGTTTACAGAGACAAGACTCTTAACATCAGTGAATGAAGTGAGTGGGTGATATACGATAAGTAGAAGTAGATTCTGGTGAATTGGAAAGTGTTGCCGTGTAGGAATGCTGGCCTCCAGATGTCAGATCATCTACTTTTTTCAAGCTGAACCTAGAAATGATTGTTTTAATGAAAATTTTTCTAATTTTTAAATCTTGGCAACTAATTGAAATATCTTTTAAATGCTGTGAGCCAAACAAAAGACATTTGCGAACTTAATTCAGCCTCATGATTACCCGTTTGCAACCTGTGGTCTAGAGTGAAAGACAGATATTAATCAAATTGTTGTTAGGTGTCAAGTCGGTTCCGACTCATAGCGACGCTGTGTACAACAGCGAAACACTGCCTGGTCCTGCGCTGTCCTCACAGTTGTTGTTATGCTTGAGCCCATTGTTGCAGCGACTGTGTCAGTCCATCTCATTGAGGGTCTTCCTCTTTTTCCCTGACCCTCTACTTTACCAAGCACGATGTCCTGCAAGAACTGGTCTCTCCTGAGAACATGTCCAAAGTACGTGAGACAAAATCTTGCCATCCTTGCTTCTAATGAGCATTCTGGCTGTACTTCTACCAAGACAGGTTTGTTCATTCTTCTGGCAGTCCGTAGTATAGTCAATATTCTTCACCAACACCGTAATTCAGAGGCATCAATTCTTCTTTGGTCTTCCTTATTCATTGTCCAGCTTTCACATGCATCTGAGGCTACTGAAGATACCATGGCTTGGGTCAGGCTCACCTTAGTCCTTAAAGTGACAAATAATCAAGTAAGAAGCAAATAAAAGTAAAATTGTAATTGGTTCAGTGTTGATGAAGGAGAAGGATGGAGTTCTGTAAGAGTTTGTAACAGGAGGATTTGACAGGGAGTCTTCAGATGAAGTGGCAATTCAGCTGAGATCTGAAGGATAAGTGGAGGTTAACTAAGTGAGGATGAGGGGTTAGGAATGTTCTAGGTGGAAGGAACAGCACATGGAAAGGCCTGTGATAAGGAGCATGGTGAATAGAAAAGGCCTAAAAGAAGGCTAGTGGGTGTGGCCAAGAGACAAGCAGGGTATCTTGTGAATAAGGCTAGAGAGGTAGGCAAGGGCTAGAGCCAGATTTTACAACCACCTTAAGGATTTTGACTTTTATTCTAAGATCTGTGGGAAATCATTGAAGAGTTTTAAGTACAGGAGTGACGTGGTTAGATTTGTATTGACTTTTGACTGCCATGTGGAGAACATACTGTAGGGGAACCTAACTAAATGTAAAGCAACTCTGGTGCAGTGATTAAGAGCTCAGCTGCTTACCAAAATGGTTGGTGGTTCGAACCCACTAGCTGTTCCACAGGAGAAAGATGTGGCAGTCTGCTTCTGTAATCATTATAGCCTTGGAAACCCTATGGGGCAGTTCTACTCTGTCTGTAGGGTTACCATGAGTCAGAATCTACTTGATGACAATGGCAACGGGCTTGGTTTTGGTTTAATTAAATATAGGAGTTCAGTTATTGTAGTAATCCAGGGTTGAGATGATGGTAGCCTAGACTAGGATGGTAGAGGTAGATAGAAGTGTATTGTATTGATATAATTGTTACCTGTCAATGACAATGTCAGGGTCAATGATAGTGACTTACATTTGTTTCTCTAATGCTTAGAAGAGAATCTAAAATGGTAGGAATTTAACAAGAAGCTGTTGAACTTTTACACTTCAGTAATGGATTTGTGTTTTAATATAGATTCTTAATTATATCAAATTTCAAAATTGGAACTACATATGCAAATGTTCATAATTTAGAGTAATGCTATGACATTTTTTTCTGCCATTGTACTTTTCTGCCTTCACTTTGTTATTGTCTTTCCTAGAGAAGCTAAGCCATTTATGAATATATTATATGATAAAAAGCATTTTACTCATGCATTGTAGAAAATAAAACTAAAAGTCTCAGGGAACAGAGCATCTAGTATATTCTTGAATTAAAGTTGTTAACCATGTTCACGTTTTCCTACAGGCAGGAAACTCAGAGATGCTTTCAGACTTTTATGCAGAAAGACAAGCCATAATATATTGGTTTGAACAGAATTTACTACATATGTAAATTAGATTTTCTTTCCCCTTTTGTATTGTAAAGGAAGCCATTTTTGTTATCTTTTAATAAGTTTTTGCTGTATGTCTACAAGATCTTTAATTGCATTTAACAAATATTGGTGGAATGCTTAATATGTGTAAGACACAGTGATTGCAGAGTAACACTTCTGAAATTATAAATTTAATCTGTTGGAGTAAGAGAAAGTATTCTTTTGTTATTTGTATTTCTTCACCAGATCAACAAATCAGAGAAGCCAGAAAGCTGCGACAATGTGAAGGTTGTTGTTAGGTGCCGGCCCCTCAATGAGAGAGAGAAATCAATGTGCTATAAGCAGGCTGTCAGTGTGGATGAGATGAGGGGAACTATCACTGTACATAAGACTGATTCTTTCAATGAACCTCCAAAGACATTTACTTTTGACACAGTTTTTGGACCAGAGAGTAAACAGCTTGATGTTTATAACTTAACTGCAAGGCCTATTATCGATTCTGTTCTTGAAGGCTACAATGGTAAGTGACTACTTTATATAGTTTACTTTTTGTAAAATCACTGTATCTGACTATCATTAAACCAGAAAACAAACAAACAAACTCATTGCCGTGGAGTTGATTCAGACTCATAGTGACCCCATAGGACAGAGTAGAACTGCCCCACAGGGTTTCCAGTGAATGGCTGGTGGATTCAAACTGCTGACCTTTTGGTTAGCAGCCAAACGCTTAACCACTGCACTGCCAGGGCTCCAGGTATAATTAACACCCCACAAATCCACGCACTGGAAGTGTACAGTTCGATGAGTTGTAATAAATATATAAAATTGTGAAACTGTCACCGCAGTCCAGTTTTAGAACACTTCCATTACGCCAAAAAGTTCCCTGTGCCTATTTGTATTCCCACCCACCCCCAGGCAACTATTGTTCTGCTTTCTGTTATAGTTTTACCTTTTCTTAAAATTTCATATAAAGCAAATTGTACAATATGTAGTATTTTGTATCTGTCTTCTTTCACTTAGCACAGTGTTTTTGAGGTTCATACATGTTGTTTAATATGTCAGTAGTTTATTTCTTTTTATTGATGAGTCTCACTCCATTGTATGGATATACCACACTTTCTTTATCCATTTAGTAGTTGACAGAAATTTGAATTATTTCAAGTTTTTGGCTATTATGAGTATTACCACTATGAATATTCATCTGTAAATCTTTGTGTGGACATATTTTAAAATTTTTCTTGGGTAGATAACCTAGGGTGGAATTGTTGGGTCATATGGTAAATATATGTTTATCCTTTGAAGAAACCACAAAACCCGTTTCCAAAGTTGTAACAATACCGCTTTATATTTCCACCAATATAGTATAAAGATTCCAGTTTCTTCACATTCTCATCAACACTTGTATTGTCAGTCTTTTTGATTATAGCTATTTTAGAGGTTGTATAGTAGTATTTCACTGTGTTTTAACTTGTATTGCCCTGATGATTAACAACATTGAGCATCTTTTAATACACCTATTAACAAATGTCTCTTAAAATATTTTGCCCATTTTTAAACGTGCTTGCTTATCTTCTTATTGAATTGTAATTCTTTATATATTCTGGGTTCACATCTTTGATTGAATGTATGATTTGCAGATGTTTTCTCCCAGTCCATGGCTTGTCTTCCCATGTTCTTAATAGTGTTTTTTTTAAGTTTTTAATTTTGAAGTTCATTTTATCGTTTTTTTTTTTATGAACTATGCTTTTGGTGGTATAACTAAGAAAATTTTGCCAATCCCAAAATCACAAAGATTTTCTACTATGTTTTCTTCTGGAAGTTGTGTAGTTTTAGGTTGTACATTTAGTTCTGTGATCCATTTTGAGTTAATTTTTATGTGTGGTGTGCGGTTAGGGTCTAAGTTATTTTTCTTTCTTTCTTTTTTTGCCTATGGCTATCCCATTGTTCCAGTGCCATTCGTTGAGAAGATTATCCTTTCTGTATTGAATTACTTTGACACTTTTGTAAAAAAAAAATCAGTTGACCACCAATGGGCTTATTTCTGAACTTGCTAATCTGTTCCATGTGTATCCTACCTTGATTACCGTAGTTTTATAATATGTTTTTGAAATTAGGTAGTGTACATTCTCTAACTTTATTATTCTTTTTCAAAATTGTTTTGACTGTTCTAGGTCCTTAGCATTTACATATAAATTTTAGGATCATCTTGTCAGTATCTACAAAAAAGTCTGCTTGGATTTTGATAGTGGATGTGTTCAAACTATGGATCTGTTTGGGGAGAATTGTCATTCTGACAATATTGAGTCTTCCAATCTTTGAACATGATATAGCTCTCCATTTACTTGTGTCTTCTTTAATTTTTCTGAGTATTTTCTAATTTTTAGTGTATAGAGCTTGCACTTCTTTTGATGAGTTTATTCCTAAGTATTTTTTAATGCTATTGTGAATAGAATTGTTTTCACAATCTCATTTTCAGATTATATGTAGTTAATATATAGAAATGCAATTGATTATTTTTAGGTAGATTTTTTTAAATTGAGATAAATTCACATAACAAAAAATTCACTGTTTTAACCACTTCAAAGTGTACAATTCAGTGATTTTTAGTATATTTATTAAATATACTAAATTCATTATCATCACTATCTAATTCCAGAACATTTCCATCACCCCAAAAAGGAACCCCATACCTATTAGCGTTCACTCTGCGTTCGCCTTTCTTCCCAACCTCTGGCAACCTCTAATCTACTTTTTTTGCATCTGTGGATTTGCCTATTCTAGACATTTCATGTGAATGGAATCATACTATATGTGACCTTTCGTGTCTCGCTTCTTTCACTTAGCATAATGTTTTCAAGGTTCGTCAGTGTTGTTGTATGTGTCAGTACATCATTCTTTTTTTTAATGCCTGAACAGTCCACATATTGTTTATCCATTAATCAGTTGATGGACATTGGGGCTGTTTCTACTTTTTGACTGTTATGAATAATGTTGCTATGAACATGTGTGTACAAGTTTTTATATGCACATATGTTTTCAGTTCGCTTGGGTAGGAGCGGAATTGCTTGGTCATTTGGTAACTCAGTGTTTAACCTTTTGAGGAATTGCCAGAGTTTTCCACAGTAGCTGCACCATTTTACATTCTCACCAGCAGTGTGTGAGGGTTCTGATTTCTCCACATCCTTGCCATCCTAGTGGGTATGAAGTGATATCTCATTGTGGTTCTCAATTGATTTGTGTATATTGATCTTATATCCTTCAACCTTGCTAAATTTGCTTATTAATTCTAGTAGGTTTTTTTTTTTTTTTTGATAAATACCTTAGGATTTACTACATATAATATCATGTCACGTGCAAGTACAGTTTTTATTTCTTTTTTTCCAACTATGCATTGAATTTTTTTCTTTTTGTTGCCTGTTTGCATTAGCTAGACCCTCCAGTACAATGTTGACTGGAAGTGTTGTGAGTGTGAGCATTCTTGTCTTGTTCTTGATCTTAAAGAGAAAGCATTCAATCTTTCACCAGTACAAGGTTATCTGTAGATTTTTCATAGATGCCCTTTATCAGATTGAGGAAGTTCCCTTCTGTTATTAGTTTTTTGAGAGTTTTTTTCAGGAATGGTCATAAGATTTTACAAGTGCTTGTTCTGTACCTTTAGAAATGATTTTTTTTTAAAGCTTGTTAATATGGTCAGTTATTTTGATTGATTTTTAAATGTTAAACCAGCCTTGCATTCTGGAATAGACTCCACCTGGTTATGCTGTATTATCCTTTTTATGTATTGTTAGATTTGATTTGCTAAAATTTTGTTTAAAATTTTTGCAGATATGTTCGTGGGAGATGTAGGTATGTAGTTTTCTTGTAATGTCTTTGTTTGGTTTTGGTATCAGGAGAATGCTGGCTTCATAGATGAGTTGGGAAATATTCCCTTCTTTTCAATTATCTGAAAGAATTTGTTTAGAATTGGTATTATTTCTTCCCTAAATGTTTGATAGAGTTGATCAGTGAAGGCATCTGAGCCTGGAATTTTCTTTGTGGGATAGTTTTTAATTCCAGATTAAATTTCTTTTGTAGATATAGAGCTATACAGGTTATCTGTTTTTTCTTGAGTAAGCTTTGGTAATTTGTGTGTTTCAAGGAATTTGGCTGTTTCATCAGGTTGTTAAATTTATTGGCAAAAGTTTTTTTTATAATATTCCCTTATTATTTTTTTAATTGTAAGAATCCACAGTGATGTAACCATTTTCATTCCTGATATTGGTTATTCGTGTCTTCTCTTTTTTCCTGATTAGTCTGGCTAGAGGTTCATCAATTTTATTGATGTTCTCAAAGAACCAGCTTTTGGTTTTACTAATTTCCCTGTATTGTTTTTATGTTTTCTATTTCATTGATTTCTCTGTAATGTTTATCATTTTCTTTCTCCTACTTTGGGTTTAGCTTGCTCTTTTTCTACTTTCTTAATGTGGAAGCTGAGGGCATTGATGTGAGACGTTCTTCCTTTCTAATATTGGGATTTAATGCTATAAATATCCCCCTAAGTACAGTTTTAGTTGCATCCCACAGATTTTGTTTTTCTGTTGTACTTTAGATGAAGGTTTACAGAACAAACTAGCTTCTCATTAGACAGTACACATATTGTTTTATGACATTGGTTACCAACCCCACGATATGTCAACACTCCCCTTCTCGACCTCGGGTTCCCTGTTACCAGCTTTCCTGTCCCCTCCTGCCTTCTAGACCTTGCCCCTGGGCTGGTGTACCCCTTTAGCCTTTTTTTTTTTTTTT